AAGAAGCCACTTTTGGGGCCTTTTTCAGGCATTTTTCCAGGCCATTTTTGGGCCGTTTTCAGGATGTTTTGGTCCAAAATATGACCTGAAAACAGCCTGAAAATGGGCCTGGAAAAAACGCAACTTCCAACCCACTGTCACAGCATGTCCACAACCACGTGATCAAAATTAAGACGCTTGGCCACTGGCTCGCACTTACGAAGGTCTCGCAGCATCCCAGAGGCCACGCGATCCCCTTTTGCGACCGCCTGACCAGCCAAGTCCACAGGGAAGCTAGATTCACTTAACAACCTGTGGTTCACTTAACAACTGCAGGGATTCACTTAACGTGGCAAGGAAAGTCGGTAAAACGGGGCGAATTTCGCTTAGCAAACGTCTCAGCCACAGAGATTTTGGGCTCCGTTGTGTTTGTGAGGAATTTGCCCGTACTTATGTTGGTTGCAGTGTCCTGGCATCATGCGATCCCCTTTCTCACGAGCCCAGTCAACGGGGAAGCCGGATTCACTTAACGACCGTGTGACAACTGCAATGATTTGCTTAACAATTGTGGCAAGAAAGGTCATAAAATGGGACAAACCTCACTTAACAACTTGGGATTCCATTTTGATCACTCGGTCGCAAAAGGGGATCACATCACACACACACACACACACACACACACCGGAGACACGGCCACCGTTGTAAATATGGGTCAGCTGCCAAGCCTCTGAATTTTGACCACATTACCGTGTGGATGCTACAACGGCCGTTAAGGGTGAAAAACAACCGCTTGGTCACCTTTTTCGGGGCCGTTGTAACTTAGAACGGTCACTAAATGGTTCATATTTATGACAGTCGCAGCATCCCGGGGTTATCCCCTTTTGCAACCTTCTGACAAGCGACGTCAATTTGGGAAGACAGATTCATTTAACGACTGTGTGACTAGCTTAAGAACTGCAGTGATCCACTGTGGCAAAAAAAGGCTGTAAAACGGGGCCAACCTCCCTTAACAAAGGTCTCGCTTAGAAACAGACATTTTGCACGCCGATTGCGGCCCTAAGTTAGGTAAGATAACAAATAATCAGAGTTGGAAGGGACCTTGTAGGTCATCTAGTCCAACCCCCTGCCCAAGCAGGAGACCCTACACCATTTCTGACAGGTGGCAGTCCAGCCTCTTCTTGAAAGCCTCCAAGGATGAAGCTCCCACAACTTCAAAGATTACCCAAAGAACTCCAGCTGTGATTATGATCTGCTAAATGACCCGTTGTAAGTCCGAGGACTAGCTGTCCCTTCTGCTGAGCTGTCTATTTTTCTTTCTCTTTCTTTCCGTCGTCCAACGGAGTCGGAGAGAATCTCTGTCGTGTTCCTTGCGTGCCTTTTAAGGGCCATTGCAACACACAGCCAGCAGCCTCCTCCTTACTCCACCTTTCTGGAGGCAGGTAATGGGCCCTTGAAAAGTGGCGCCAGCCCCGGAAACGCTTAATTAACTCGCTGGGTTGGGCCGCCGCTTTCCAATAACATCCCGGTCAACCGGTTCCAGTCTGTTTACTGCTATTGCAGCTGGCGTTGGGTCCTGATAGAGGGACGCCAAACAAGGAGGGGATAGGTTCTTTTTTATTTTTATTTTAAAAAAATATTTTTTAGGGGGAGGAAAGGGGAGCGGAACCCCGGGCTTATTTCCCAATGTTGCAAAGTCATTGAGGACTAGCATCCTGGCCAGCCTTGCGAAAGTGCCCTTTTGCTTGTTTTGAACCCGCCTCGTTTTCATCTCCAACCTGGGCTGGTTTTTCCAGGTAGCTGGAGGTGGGCCAGCTCTGAGAGGCGTCCATTGGGCTGTGTGTGGGGGGGGGGGGGAAATAAAAGCCCTGAATGTGGCTTTTGATAAGTGTTCCTAGAGTCTCGGTGGTGTTTTTTTCTATCCAAGTGGAGAAAAGCGACTCCCATTTTTTGGAGCGTTGAATAATTCTGCTCTGGTTAGATGTGGAGAATGAGATCCGGTAGCATGGAGGGGTTGCATTCATTGCGGTTCAGGGTAGTGGTTGCCAACCGGTGGGCCGGGGACCACTGATGGTCCGCAAGAAAATGTTGGCGGTCCGCAGAGAAATGTCACCCCCAAAGCAATTAATCCAGGTTGCGCAGGAACACAAGGCTGTGCCGCCCACATGGCCTGTGGGAACACAAGGCTTGCATCGCTTGTATTGCACACAACACAACGTAGTGAGGGGAGGGTTGGAAAGGACGGAGTGGGGAAACTTGCCCCACTTGCCCCACATTCCTGGCCTGGCCACCTAGCTGCTTCTTTCCGCTTCTTTCTTCTTCTGCTTTTGGCTACACGCAAGGAAAGCAGCCGAAGTCTTTCTTTCTCTCCCCTAAACTCTGCCAGAAATGAGTCTTTGGGACCCTGCAAGGCCTCCTGCTCCAAGAGGCTGCGCCGGCAAAGACTCATTTCTGGTGGAGTTTGGGGGAGAGAAAGAAAGACTTCTGCGGCTTCTGATGCTTTCCTTGCATGAAGCCAAAAGTCTCTCCTCTCTCTCTCTCCCCCTGAGAACGGAGCTGGAGACGGAATCCTGCGATCCCAAATAAAGAACGATCGATCTGTCGGAAATCGGGGTGGGGAATTTTCCTGCAGACTTTTTGGGGGATTTTCCCAGGGTCTCTGGTCCGCGGGATTTAAAATGATGTTTGGTGGTCCCTGAGGTCCAAAAGGTTGGCGACCCCTGGAACTTCAGGGCCTTGTGCGATGTCTTGGGCTGTCACAATAAGCCTTGACCTGGTTTGCTAATGAGGGCATTTTAGACTCTTAGAAAGCTGGATAAAATTGAACCAAGGGCAAAAAGAAGTGGATTAAAGCAAATGGGGACTTTGCTGGATGTTCAATTTCACACAGTGATGTTGCATCGTAGCTTAATCCCGGCTTAACATGATGCGTAAACATAACCAGAACTGTCACCCTTGCAAAGATGCTGCAATCTCTCTGGGGACTTACAAGCCACAAATCCTAGTTTGGCTTTTCCTGCATTAGGCAAGAGGGTTAAGATAGTCCTCGACTTGTGACCACTTGTTTAGTGACTGTTCAAAGTTATGCCAGCACGTTAAAAGTGTTTATGGGTAATCCTCGGCTTACGACGAAGAAGGGAAGCCAAAATTTCCATTGTTAGGGAATGCGGTTGTTAAAGTGAATTTCGCCCCATTTTAACCGCCTTTTTTGTTCAGTGAATCCTTCCAAAGTGTGAAGTTAGTCACATGGTTGTTAAGCAAATCTGGTTTTCCCCATTGACATGAAAGCCGCAAAAAAGGACGCTGCGGCCATCATAAATATGAATCAGTTGACAAACTGTCTGAATTTTGATCACGCCGCAACAGTCGCCGGTGTGAAAAACGGTCATAAATCACTTTTTTCTGTGCCACTGTAGCTTTGAACTAAGGGAGTCGTTGTAAATCAAGGACAACCTGTAGTCTAATGGCCTCTAGGAACCCCATCTCTCTCTTTTTCTTAAAAAAAAATAAATCCTTTTCTCTTCTACAGTCTCCCTGGGCGGATATGCGCTCTGGAAGGACCCGGAACCTTCGGTGGCCGAGCCGCCATCTTTCCCGATGCCGCTGGACATGACCATCCGCAACTCTGTCTACACGGCGGCTCAGCCCCATGGCGCGGCCCACGTGTCCAGTGGGGCATGCCAGGAAAACGAGTCCGACTTCACGCACTCCAAAATCAAGGTAGGACTGACCAGCAGCTTTGCACCCTAGTTTATTACAGACTAACTCGATACCCGGGCTTCGCTACGAAACTATGTGGTCGGGCTTAGTTTTTGGGGAGGAAAATAATGGGGGTGGTGGTGGAATTCTGCCACTGCCTACCAGCATCCATTGGTATTCACCTGGCTAGAGTCCTGTCAGTGTGTGAGAGAGTTGAGGGCTGTTTGGAAACTGAAACAGTATTTGCTGTGTGAGCAAGGAGACAGCAAGGAGCCTGGGCGTGGCTTAGCTCAACTATTCTGTACTAAAGCTGCTTGGTGCTGTGAAACTGAAACAGAAGCAGAAACTCTTCTCCTCTGCTTGTGTTTTGCATTTGGAACAGGTTTCTTTTCAGGTGGGGAGGGGGAGTAGAACTCTTTAGCATCAGAGCATGTTATTAATAATAATAATAATAATAATAATAATAATAATAATAATAATAATAATAATAATAATAATAATAATAATAATAATATAGGAAATACTAATGCTCTGATGGTCATTTGGAAAAATCCTTTCTTAGTGAGCCCCTAGAAGCCAAGAGGAACATAATTTACGGTGCTGGAGATTTTGTGATGATGCGTGAGGGGCCTTTCGCTTTTATATATATATAGATCAAGGGTCTTCAAACTTGGGAACCTTAAAAACTTGTGGACTTCAACTCCCAAAATTCCTGAGCTAACATGACTGGAGGAGGAATTCTGGGAATTGAAGTCCACAAGTCTTAAAGCTGTCAAGTTTGAAGACCCCTGATATAGATTAACGGAGGTGGAAGGGACCTTGGAGGGCATCTAGTCCAACCTCCTCCGCCCAAGCAGGAGACCCTTACACCATTTCCCGCAATTTATGACCATTTCTCATGGGCCCCAGTGGGGTTCCCGCAGGGAAGGAGAGACTGTACACCTAAAAAGCAAATAACAATAATGAAGCGGTAAGGTGTGTGATTGTGTCGACGCCGCTCCTAGGCTGTGCTTGATTAAATCAGGGGCGGGGTACAGATAAAGCGAAGGAAGTTAGTCATATGGGGGGGGGGGGAAAGGCTTCGAGGACCTGGGATGCACCAGCCACAGTTGCGGGCGCGCTCACAAAATGGTAGCCACGTGCAAAACATCGCTAGTTTCCTGGGCACCTTCATTTATTGGTTAAGAAATGTCCCAGATGGGAGGAGAGAGGCAGATTTTTCACCAAGAAGGTAATTTTTTCCTGCTTGGAAAAAATTACATTTCTTTTTTTTTCTTTATTTGTAATTAAAAGAGCAGAACGAAAGAAGGTCTGGAGGGAGCAAAGGAGCAGCAAACCCCAAAGTTGGGCTGGTTGGGGTTCGGTTGGAGCCCTGCGGGCAAACCAAGGTGTGAGGAAACTGGGAGGCTTACAAACCATGGATGTGAAGTTATGACAGCAGTGAAAAACACTGACTTAGAGCCAGTCCTCACACTTAGGACTGGTCACAAAAGGGGAATCACATGAGCCCCTGCAACCGTCGTAAATAGGAGTCAGTCGTCAAGCGTCTGAATTTTAGTCACACGACCTGCTGGGATAAACTGCAATGGTGGTAAGGGGTGAAAGGCGGTCGTACGCCCCCCTTTTTTCGGTGCCGTTAGAACTTTTGAACGGTCGCTAAATGAACTGTTGTAAGTCGAGGACTTATTTAGACATTTGATGGGATATTTCGCAACGGGGCGTTTTGATGTGCCCACGGCTTCAAAATGAGGGTTGGGAAAGGGACTCCCTCTCTTGAAAGTCCTACCCGTTGAAAATTGCCATCGGGGTTTGGAAGTGCCAAACCCCGGTAGGGCAGTGCTCAAAAACTTTTTCTGACTATGGGCGATCATGAGGACTAGAATCTTAGCTTCGCTCTGACCAGCAAGGACCACATTTCGGGGAGGAGTGGCGGGCTAGGCTGTGGCAGAACATCAAACCAAAGTGGGTGTTTTTTTTGGCAATCATGAGGACTAGAATCTTAGCTTCGCTCTGACCGGCAAGGACCACATTTCGGGGAGGAGTGGCGGGCTAGGCTGTGGCAGAACATCAAACCAAAGTGGGTTTTTTTTTTTTTGTTTTTTACCTTTCCACAGGTGAGCCCGGCTGACGGTCCCCTCGAGCAGTTTTCATGCCCCTTTTGCCAAAAGGCCTTTTCCTACCAACGGATGCTCAACCGCCACCTCAAATGCCACAGCGAGATCAAGCGGCACCTCTGTCCCTACTGCAACAAAGGGTTTAACGACACCTTCGACCTCAAGCGACACGTCCGGACGCACACAGGTGAGCTTGGCGCGGGGCGGCAAGTGGCTGGCGCTGTCACCGGTGCCCAGAATGGCTTTGGAGATTCAGCCGGGGATCATCATCATCTTTTAACAACCCCATAATCCCTTGCAGGGGTGGAGTCCGGGCAACTGAATGGAGCTAGCAGTGTTTTACTGACCGGATGCCTTTCCTGTTGCCAGTGCGGAGTTTAGTTCAGCAGATAAATTCTCAGTGTGCCTGGAGAGGATCAAACTCACCGCCTCCTGATTGTGAGGCCTGAGCTTCTCCTCGCCATGAGATCCAGACAGGGATGATAGTCTGATTTTAAAAAAGGGGATCTATAACAGGGTCTTTCTTAGACGCAGATCTATGGATACGCGAGGGAGGGGAGACTGGTTAGCGGTGGCCTTCCCCAGTTCTCCTTAGTGTACAATGCCAAGACAATAGTTGCGAACACCAAGTTGTGATCTCCCCTAGAAGATCCAAAAAGGAGAAACAGTGGTTGTGCCCGCACGATCAATCCTCCGTTCTGTAGGTAGTCCTTGACTTACGACTTTGAGCCCCGCATTTCTGTTGTTAAGCAAGACGGTTTCCTTGGCTGACAAATGTCTTGGGTGTCCGATCACACTTAGCTAGAAAAGGAATTCCATTCTATTCTTTATATGCTGTTCTTGTTCTGTACCTGTTCCTTTCTGTTCTTGTTCTGTTTCTATTCCTTTTTTTAAATTTTAAAAAATACTTTATGGAGTACAAAAGATTAATATATACAAATATACAGAAATAAAAAAAATAACAAGTCATACAAATAAACATCACCACACATTCTATAATAAGACAAATCTTATTTCTCTCTAATACATTTGATAGTGATTTAGATATCTCATAAAAGGTATTAAATGGCAATTACTTCTTGTCCCTTGTAAACTAACTGTTATCTATATTGTAATAATACATAATAGTCTATTATTATTATTATTGGATTATAACTATGTATTTTTATAGATGTCCTTTATGTAACTTAGTCAATGAGAAAGAGGAATAAAACTAGTATTTTATAAATTCCTATCTTTTAGTGTGTGTGTGTGTGTGTGTGTGTGTGTGTGTATACATACATACATACATACATATATATATATATATGATAATATGTTTCATAGGTTCATTATTTTATGCATTGTTTTCCGGTCTATCCAATTGTACCATTTATCCCAAATCAAATAATATTCAGAGTCATCTTTTCCTTTTAATTTTAGTATATTCCTTTCCTTTCCTTTCCTTTCCTTTCCTTTCCTTTCCTTTCCTTTCCTTTCCTTTCCTTTCCTTTCCTTTCCTCCCCTTCCCTCCCCCTCCCCTTCTCTTCCCTTCCCTTCCATTCTATGCCATTTGTTTCCATTTCTATTAATTCTATTCCTGTTCTGTTTTGTTCTGTTCTGTTCTACTCTGAACTCTATCTCCTCTCCTCTCCTCTCCTCTTTCTTTGAACATGTTTCACTTCTCCCCCAAGAAGCTTCTTCAGCTCTGACTGGATGGTGGGGAATGGAAGGATTTATATTCCTTGCAGGCAGCTGGTTATTTGCATCCTTTTTAGAGGGCCGTTGAGGCCACTTGGAGGTTGATCTAAGTCCTCAGGGTCACCTGAGGGGTGCAAATGGGTGTGGAGCCTCCTTGGAACTGTTGAAAAGACCGTGTTGTACACTGGAGATAGATGAGGTCGTATATCCCTCCCCCCACTCAATTGAGAGAGGGGCCAAGCGGCCTCAACGACTGTCTATAAAAGGATGCAAATGACCAGCTGCCTGCAAGGAGTATAAATCCATCCATCCTCCACCATTCAGAGCTGAAGAAGCTTCTTGGACGAGAAGCAAAACGTCTTCAAAGGAAAAACCAAAAAAGGCCAGTTGCCTCCTGAAAAAGCACCTTTGGGACATAAAACCAGGCGCCTTGCTGAACTGCCTTGCTTAATAACAGAAATTTTACTCCCCGTTGTAAATGGAGGATTACCTGTCACCCTTAAGACAAGAAGAGATTGTCACTTGGGAGGGTGCCACAAGCGCAGCAATTGTCCTCGGGCAACCCGGGTTGTCTGAACTCACCCTGGATCCTTCCTCCTCCTCCTCCTCCTCCTCTCTCCCCCGCCCTGCAGGTGTGCGTCCTTACAAATGTGACCTGTGTGACAAGGCCTTCACCCAGCGCTGCTCCTTGGAGTCCCACCTGAAAAAAATCCACGGGGTGCAGCAGAGTTACGCCTACAAGGAACGCCGGGCTAAACTTTACGTCTGCGAGGATTGCGGATCGACGGCCGATAGTCAGGAATCTCACCTGCGACACCTGCAGGAGCGACACCCCGACAGTCCGCTACTCCGGAAAGCCTCGCGCAAGGTGGCTACCACCCTTCACGGCATCATGGGGGCGCCGAGCATCCTTCATAGCTCTGCTCCTTGTTCCTAAACATCCCGGCCCCCCTTTTTTTTGGGGGGGGGTACCGTTGTTCCTTTGAACTTGGGAAGTCTTGCCCAGGGGGCGGGGGCAAAGGACGGGATGAGTTTGGCTGCTGGACCAGACCGCTAGGTCTGGTATTTCGAACCCGGCGTGGTTGAAAAAGACACCGCATAAAAAGTGAATCTCTACAAATCTTTCATGAAGCGCTAGGGAAATTATTATTATTTTTTTTTTAAAAAAATCTGGATCGGACTTCCGGATGGGATGATGGCGGCTTTGAACGTTAGAAAGGAGCTCATTTTTGGCTGCTTGGCAGGCCAAGACTTGGGGGGAGTTGGGGTGGGATGATTCTCAGAGGTCATCTAGTCTGACCCCCTTTGGCCCATGCTTAAAGGACTTCCGGATAGGAGGACAGTGGCTTTCAATGTTAGAAAGGGGCTCAGTTTTGGCTGCGTGGCAGGCCAAGGCTTGGGGCGGGATGATTCTCAGAGGTCATCTAGTCTGACCCCACTTTAGCCCATGCAGGAAAAGAATTATCGGATGCATCTTAGTTGCTTGCATTGGGGCTGCCTTTTAAATCCTCGCTGGGGTTGGGATGCAATAGTGTCTCCGAAGCCTGGATTTAGAATTGTTTGTTCACCGTTCTTTGAATCCGTCGCCTATTTCCGAGGACGTTGATGAATGGTGTGAAAGATGTGAGCAGCCGCCTTGAGAGTCAAGGCAAAATAATTTTTCAAGGTTAAAATTGTTCACCAACTGATTCCCATCACCGAAAGATGGCGAGTTACCCGTTTCCCTGGGTATGCGCAAGCAGAGGCTCGGGGTTCGAGAAGCGATGGGATAGATTTCCGCCTTTGATTAAGGAGGGGGGGGTTGGGCTAGATGACCTCATAGCATCCCTTCGAGCTGTATGTTACGATTTTTCCACCTCGGGCCCCGATCAAACTAGTCTGACCTTGGAGATTAAGTGCCTGGACCTGTTTGTTGGCTATCAGGACGGAGTTTGAACGGGAATTCTATTTTTAAAACAAGAACAATCTCTGGACCGATTTGGGGGTGTCTGGATGAGGTTTTGCAAGCTTCCATGATACACACAACCCCTCTTTTCTCTCCAGAATTCAAGCTCTGACATTCTGGATTCTGGTGAGGTTTTTTTTTGTTTTTGTTTTGGTGATCCTTTTGAACCGATGCAAAAAAATGTATTATTTATCCAGAGTCGAGGAACCCCTGGATTTTGAGTTTTATGATATTTTTTTAAAAGATATATACAGTACAGTATTGGATTGTTGATAAGGACTGCATCATTTCTGACCGGGAGGCCTCTAGCCTTTTTGAAACGGGGCAGAAAAAGGGAATTATTAAGCAAGTACAATGGTACTAATAAGGGGTATCATTTTTATTTAATATTATACATGTGTGAAGACGGGGTCCCTGCCATGGCGTGGCGAGGAGACACCGAAAGCTAATTTTTTTTGGCATCTTAAGGGATAAGAGGCATTACGCCAAACAACAGGGTGTGGATCTTGTTTACAAATCGGCCATGTTTTCTCTTGACTTTGGGGGAACGAGCTTGGCCTGTGAACTTTTAATGTTATTATATTATTCGTAATCTTATTATTCTTCCCCTCCTTACCTGTTAATTAAAATAAAGGAACTGGATTCTCTCTGCGAGCCTGGGAAGTTGCACATCATTTGGGACTCCAAAGGTGTGTCTCGAAGGGCACCTAAATGTATGTTGTAACGA